CTTCTGAATGTTATGAGAGAAAAAAATAAGAGATAGTAGCCAGTGGTGGTGGTTCCACTGAGAGCTGGTACCTTGAGCTCTGGTTCTCAGTTTGGTTACCGCTATGTTTGTAGTGGCAGAGTGGTCTAGTATCACAAATGAGAATGGCATCTACCTAAATATGCAATACAAATTTGTAATAATTAGTAATAAATTTATTTTATTATAGCTAATATTTTAAATGGAATTGATAAGGTCAAAGAAGAACACCAGCTCCAAATCTACATATGCCTTTTGCTGGAGTTACATAGAAGGCACATCTTTTTACTCAAAGATGTGGCTTCCTATTGGAAGACTCTGAAGAAAACTGTGATTACACAATGTGGGAAATATTTTGGATTTGCAGAAGTGTGGCTATATTTTGTTGATGATTTTAATAATGGCTACTCTCATTCATAAACTTCAAATAAATCACCCCAATAAAAGTTGATACTATCACCAAGGTGGCAAGTTACCATTTAAATAAAGAGGAAATGCAGACACATGCTGATGAACAAGTGTTCGTCATCATCAATGTCTTCCCAGTTAAAAGTGTACAAACCCCTACAAAAGTCACTTTATCTTTCTGGGTCTTAGTTTCTCATGTGCCAAAACCAGAACAAAGTTAGATGATGGGTAAGATTTCTTCTAATTCTTAGACTACATGATATTACAAAACAGACTCCCTGCCTAGTTTGAGATGATACATACATATATATACATACACACACACATACACACATGCTTACTTTAAACAAGTGCCAGTGACATGAAATTTAAATACTATTTTAGTAGTTGAAGCTACAAATTAATATCTCAGTTCCACAGACTCTTGATCATTCTGTCCATTACTTCTGAAACATAAATGTGAAATGTGCTGAGGGATGAAGACCAGCTCCATTTAAGGGATATTCATGGCCGGGTGCGGTGGCTCACGCCTGTAATCCCAACATTTTGGGAGGCTGAGACAGGTGGATCACCTGATGTCAGGAGTTCAAGACTGGCCTGGACAACATGGTGAAACCCTGTCTCTACTAAAAATACGAATATTAGCTGGGCTTGGTTGTGGGTGCCTGTAATTCCAGCTACTTGGGAGGCTGAGGCAGAAGAATCGCTCGAACCCTGGTGGCGCGGGTTGCAGTGAGCTGAGATCACACCATTGCACTCCAACCTGGGCGAAAGGAGTGAAACTCTGTCTCCAAAAAAAAAAAAAAAAAAGAGATTCCTATTCACGTTTCAATGCTGGCTGAGGCCCTATAGCTAAGACTCAGAATCCTGGATTTTGAAATCCAGTAATGTACCCAGCACTTCCTCTTGTTCAGCCATTATAAAAAGACCTATTTGGCAAGTATCCTCCTGGTCTTCTCATATGGGACCATTCCATGATCCAGCTGAAGGAGGTGGCCTTCAATGCTGAAACTCCTCAGCTGCTTACCACCTCGAAAACCACTTTCATTTTCAAGAGGAAAGAAAACAAACCTCTGACTCTCAAAAGAGACCAAGGGATCCATCTCGATGCTGGAAATCTGGCCACAGGCATGGAGGAAAAATCATAGGAGGCAGGTTTGGAGTTTTCTGGCATCAATCCAGCTTGCTATTTAAAACTTAAAACCTCAGCTCTAAGGTAGGACACAAAGCTATTGAAAACTCTAAGCTGCATATTACCACAAAGCCCAGTAGACCCAATTTTTTGCCTCCACTTACAGAGAAAAGCAAGCACCACACAAGTGTATGGATTCCATGGGGCAATGGCAACCACCCTGTTCAGAAAATTTAAAGAGTTTAAATGAAGTGTTATTTTCCCCCTCAGACAGAGAAACAAAATATACGTATCAAGTACTAATTACTAACTGCCTTAGTTAAAATCTTTTGTTGAACAGGCAAACTATTATAAGAAATAAGAATAAATGACCAAATGCTTTGATGTTTTAAAAACAAATATTCATTCACCAAAACAGAAGTGAATAGTTCTATGAGAAAACATGTTTTCAAGCATCTGGAGAGAAATAAAAAGAGTAATAGCCATCTAAGAAGCAATAAAGAACAAAAGTAAGTTTAATACGATCCTGCATAAGAAAGCATTCAGTGGAGTTTCTGGTTAGTCGGGGAAGCCTTCTTGAAAGAGGCAAACTGAAGTTGGCTTTGGAATACAGAGATTTTCCTTTTGCCATTCAGGTGGAAACAAGTCTTCCGTTTCTATAGATGGCACTGAAAAAGCCAGCCTGGCTACAAGGCAGGCTCACCTCCATCTCTTGTGAATCTAACTGCATGGGAATACATTCTACGTAAATCAGCTGACTTTTTTTTGCCCGGACTGGTCTGGAACTTACTATTTGTATTAATCCATTCTCACACTGCTATAAAGATACTACCGACATGGCAGCAGGAGACAGAGGGTGGGGCGGGAGCGGCACCAGACACTTATGGAACAACCAAACCTCGTGAGAACTCATTCACTATCAGGAGAACAGAAAGGGAAATCCACCCCCACGATTTAATCACCTCCCACCAGGTCCCCCCTGGACATGTAGGTACAATTTGACATGAGATTTGGGTGGGGTCACGGAGCCAATTTATTAGAAAAATTCAAATTGTTCCCATGCAATATAGCCTCTTAAAATTTTCCTTTAATACTTCTTTGGATATTTTTATCAAGACAACATAATTACAGTGACCTTGAGAGATGAAACATTTTGATCATGATTTTTATCCATAATTGAAGTCAGTGGGAAAATCTGATTTGATTAACAGAAAGCTGAATTCAGACATTTTCCATTTTTCCCCTGTAATTTGCAGCTAATTTCATAATCATTACATTACTTGCGAAATGAACTGATGATGAACCCCGCGATGTAATTTAACAAGGAAAGGTAGCCGGGCGCGGTGGCTCATGCCTGTAATCCCAGCACTCTGGGAGGCTGAGGTGGGCGGATCACCTGATGTCAGGAGTTCAAGACCAACCTGGCCAACTTGGTGAAACCCCATCTCTACTGAAAATACAAAATTAGCCGGGCATGGTGGTGTATGCCTATAATCCTAGCTACTTGGGAGACTGAAGCAGGAGAACTGCTTGAAGCCCAGAGGCAGAGGTTGCAGCGAGCTGAGATCACACCATTGCACTCCTGCCTAGGTGACAAGAGTAAGGCTCCATCTCAAAAAAAAAAAAAGAAAAAGAAAAAAGGCAGGGTTGATGGTATCATTCAACATTACACACTTTTCAAAACACTGCCTCAAACCTGCTTAGGTGTGAATTTCACAGCATCCTGGTGGGTCAGAGAGATTCAGATATTGTTAATCCTTTTTTCTTCGAGACGGAGTTTTGCTCTTGTTGCCCAGGCTGGGGTACAATGCCACGATCTCAGCTCACTGCAACCTCCGCCTCCCAGGTTGAAGCGATTCTCCTGCCTCAGCCTCCTGAGTAGCTGGGATTACAGGCACCCACCACCGCACCCGGCTAATATTTGTGTTTTTAGTAGACACGGGGTTTCCCCAAGTTGGCTAGGCTGGTGTCGAACTCCTGACCTCAGCTGATCCACCCACCTCAGCCTCCCAAAGTGCTAGGATTACAGGCATGAGCCACCATACCTGGCCTGTTAATCCTTTTTTATAGAGAAGGGAAAATACGACAAGGAAGACAACCAGCCCAAGCTCACATAGCAAGTCAATAGCAGAACTTTTTCCTCGACACTATTTCTGCTACTATTAAAAATAAGAAAAACTAACCAACCAAACAAAAACCCACTGAAACAGGGAAATGGTAGCCGTGGTAGTAACAGTAGCAAAACCAAGAGCAGTTATCCTATGTTGAGCACTGACAGTGAGCCAGGCACTATGCTGAGCCTCATACGTGGATTACCTCATTGAATAATTACTTAGAGGAACATTATGAGCAGACATCATCTCATGCTATGGTGCAGGGATCCAGACACAGAGAGTGAAAGGACCTAGTACCGTTGCCTCAGATCTCACAGTCAGTGTGTGGCAGAGGTGTGATTCATCCTCATGGTTGTCTCTGACTGCTTGACAGTCTTGAACTCATTCTCTTACAGAAGGCTGGTGCCTCTCAGTTTCCAAGTCCTTGAGTCACTACTCAGAAGTCACCATCACAATGAGGCCTACCCTGAACACCCCATTTAAAATTGCAGACTCCACCCCCACCCTACTGAAATCGATTCTCCTTCCCCTGCACAACTATGGGATTGACAGGGTTTGTGTTTAGTGTTTGTTAATATAAGCTCCACAGGGCAAGGATTTATTATTATTATTATTATTATTATTATTTTTGCCCTCAACACATCCCAATGCTTAAGACACTGCTGTCCAACAGAGCTTTTTATACAATGGAAATGTTTTACATCTGTGCTATCCAATACAGCAGCCACTAGGCATAAGAACAAAATTGGAAAGTGGCTAGTGCAATTAAAGAACTAAATTATTTTATTTACTTTCATTATTTAATAGCCACATGTTACCATAGTGGACAGTGCAGGCCTAGAACAAATGCCTAGCACAGTAAACCCCTAGGAAACATTTGCTAAATGAATGAAATTATAAATAAAACCTATTTTCCATACAACCTGTAGACTACTTTCACTAACTACAAAGTAAATTTTATTTTTATTTCATAATAAAAATTATGGCTTTTTATTATGGCTGAAATGTCCATAATGGCTGAAAAAGTCCAGATTAAAGTTTGAAAATTCGGAAGATATGGCCAAAATAGCAAGCACCGATTTCATGAACTATTGGCTCCCTTTGCCATCTGCCACGCAAAACCTTCTGAAACATTTCCTGAAAACAGGGAAAGCACCAACAGCATGTAATGAACTCCCATGAATCTCACACACACACACACATACAGAAAATATATACTAAATTCCCATGATACACACACACACATGTACAGGTATGTGTGTGTATATATGATATATATATATACCATTTCCCTATATAATTACAGCTTTGGCATAATCACTCAGTACCTTTTTGACCTTGCTTTTTTTCTCAAAAGTCTCTGACAGAGGTTTTTTCTTTTGTTGAGTTGTATCTTTGGAGAATAAATACTCAAATTCACCAGGGTCCCGAATGTCAGGTTCTTCTAAGGAGTCCCATAAGGTTGGTGTAGCATTTTGGCTTAAAAGAGAAAATGACAAGTTAACCATAAGAACCAAAACAGGAGAGAATATAATACAATGAAATCTTTCTCAAATCCATTTTTAAATTTCATTTTTCTAAAAAAACACATAAAAAACTCTAAAATAATGCTTGGAGAAAAGCTTTTTATGTTATGCATTTGTTAAAGTCAAAATATACTATAGACCATTAAAACACACACAGACATATTTCCAAAAAAATAATTGTCATTAGGTACAATCAAAGATAGAGCTCTAGAGAAACTTCTGAGGACTAGAAATCCTGGGATTCGGATTCCTGGGGGCACCCAAGCTGCTCTTCCTTCAGTCTGTGGCATTTCCATGATGTGTAAAAATGGCATCGTATAAAGGCTGAAAAGATAACCAATTTGAGACTTTGACAGGCTAACTCTGAAGTAGACTGAAAATGGAGTACCAAAGTAAAGATCTGCCTCCTCTTTGGACTTTTTCAACTACTTTTAAATATAGTTTTTAGGATTCATGCAGGTAAACTCTGCAGGGTCCTTAATACATAAACAGGCTGTGCCTATTTTAAAATACATGATTCCCAGTATCTCAGTTCCCTATACAATACTAACAACAAAAACCAACCAAAAACCTCCTCCATTGCACCTCATGGGATTTCAACTAAAGCAGCCATTGGGAAACTGTGCTGTTTCGTCTTCCAGAAACAGGGGCACCCTAGTTTTGAAGGGAAGAAAGAACAGCTGTTGAGAATCAGGTGTAACAGAACAGTGTCTATGAGCTGACTGCAGTGGTCACTCCTCAGGGCCCCTCAGTCAGAACACATCTCCCAAGTGTTTACTTTCTTATCTGAATTTCAAACACTATTAATGCCCACTGGTCAGGCGTGGTAGCTCACACGTGTAATCCAAGCACTTTGGAAGGCTGAGGTGGGCAGATCACTTGGGGTCAGGAGTTCACGACCAGCCTGGTCAACATGGTGAAACTCCATCTCTATTAAAAATACAAAAAATTAGCTGGGCGTGGTGGTGGGTGCCTGTAATCCCAGCTACTTGGAAGGCTGAGGCAGAAGAATTGCTTGAACCCAGGAGATGGAGGTTGCGATGACCTGAGATTGTGCCACTGCACTCCAGCCTGGGTAACAGAACGAGAGTCCATGTCAAAATAATAATAATAATAATAAAAAACACTCTCAATGCCCACAAACAAATTTCATCTATATACTTATTGTTTATCAAACAAATGTACATGTTACAATCCATAACATCTAAAAGCTTTGTTTCCGTACATATTTTCTCAATGAAAACTAAAAAGATAACTAATATGGAATGGGCCACAGAATGTTTTGATACTACAGTTGATTTGATATTTAAAACAGTTGGCAGCCCTGGCACCTCAGGTCTGCGTGTTCACATTTTGCAATAGATCTGCCTTTCCCATGATATATGATATTTTGGTGTTGGCCACATTCACCTCTTCTCTCCTCTACTTTTTATTTTTCAAATCATGATTTTGCCAATAGTTGAACCATGTAATAGTACGACATATGGAAGTTATAAAGTAGAACAATAGAATGAACACCTGGGAAACCATTACCCAACCCAAGGGCTAGAACATTTCCAGTGAAGCACATCAACGTATATGTTCCTCCCTCAGCCATACCCCTCTGCTACTCACTTAACTTCAACCTGAAACATAAGCACCATTAATGTTAAGTGCTTATCTCTGTGGTGCTGGGGGAGAGGTGGGGAGAAGTGGGATCTTGATTAAGGAAGTCAGTCGGGAATTCTGGAGTGAGCATGTGGCATGTTAAGGGCCACTGGTCTGGGCCTCAGGAAGGTTCTGGGCAGCTAAGGGGTGATGCCTAGAGTGAGGTGATGCAGTGTGTCAGGCCAACTGCTCAGCCCCATCCCCACTTCCTGCACCTGCTTGGCTCTAGCTCCACGGACTCTGAGGTCAGGCCAGTGTAACGAGTAATATAATTCACTTACATTGTGGAGTACATTGGCTTTGGGAGTCAATGGTGATCAGTTTAAGCACCTGATCACCATTTACAACACTATTTCTATGGGAAAGGCATTTCCATTTCCAATACTGAATGAAAGAATTTTGGAACACTGCCTCTCAGTGATGTGGGGACAGCCAGCATTTGGCAGGGCAATAATAAGGACCTGCTTCACAACGAATGACCTGCCATGGTGGTCAGCTGACCCCTGAACATACCATTCTAGCTCAAAAGGCAGGCAGGGAGAGAGAGAGAGAAAGAAAGAAAGACAAGGAGACAAATGAGAAACTTACTAAGAAGATGAAAAGGTAGTTAGATGAGGATTTATTTTGCTTTAAGTGTCTCTTGCTTAGTCTAGAAATCACAAAACAGACACCCAAGAAGGCAAAACGTCAAAAGAAAAAAAAATCAGTTCATACCAGGAGTCAAAAGCAATTTAGGTAGATGAGAAGCAGTGTATACATAATGCTGAAAATTCACATTTTGTTTCTGGCTTCCCAGAAGAGCAAGACCAACATTTATGATGCAATCATTATATAAACTACTTACTCCTCTAGTTGCACAAAATATTAAAATATGATTTTGCCTCCTTTATGAGAAGGTATCCCAAATAATTGCACTCTTGCTCCTAAGCAAATACTCCACAGGCTCTTTGAATCATTTTCACTTAGAAGTAGCAGTGCTAATAGGTACAGAAAGTTGGAGAGACCCATAATAAAAGAACTTGAATATGTGGTACCACCAGGAAGTGCCCATGTTGCAGTCTTAACACATCAGAGAGGGGCAGCCCCCATTTCAGGTTCAAATGCGCACCAAGCAGGGCTCTCTTGATGTCCTATTCATCTACTTTTCATTTTGCTCAAAAGTAAAGCCCTAGATATATGATGAAACCAATGAGACCTTCAGTATTCAATTGTTTTTCTTCTCAAAATGGCCAACTACATAAGCAGGAAACAACGTAGACTATGATGATCTCCAGCTTTCCCTTGGTCGTGTGCGAAGGGCCCATATCTCCCAGTGGGACTCTTTGGTGGCTGCTGTGGTCTACAGTTATCTGTTGCTCATGAAGTCTCTCGGGGAAGGAAGTGAAGGCAGGCTAGTGGGACACAGGTGTGGAACAGCTCCCCGTGCTGTCAGACACACTCGTTCAGGGCTTACAGGTGGGAGGCATCGCCCTGGAATGGCTGTGCACTAATTTGAGAACACTAATAAGGAAACATGACTCAAAATAAATATTCTGGGAAATGATTTTTAGGAAATGTCTGAGTCTTTATCGGGAAGAAGGGAATACTAGTACTTTAGCTAATGGCAGAAGCTATTACAGGATCATCTCACTTTTTTATGAACCATTCATTTGGGAAATTACAAAGTATAATTGAATTTTGAAAAAAAGAAGTATCAGGATGTTCCAAAAACAAACTCTTGGCCCTTATTTTTTGAGAGGAAAGGGGAAAATATGAAGCACATATGCTCAGTTTTAGGGTATTCCTCACTCCTCCACAGGGATTTCTAGTTGTTTTATCATTGTGAGTTGTGTGTTATTTTGTTTCATATCCTGCCTTCCCTAAGCAAAATGTTATATACATTGAAGAATGCACTACCACATCATGACTTGGGAAAAGTTGTGAAATGTGTCCTATATCTGCCGTCCTTTACAAACAAACTTTAAAGGAGAAAGTGGTCAAGAGACAACTTAAGATCTCTTTCACTGTCCTCCTTCCAGGCTCAGAAATAAGGCAGAACAAATCACGCTCAAATCTGCTTGAATGGATGTTTCCAAGCAACTATACCTTGCTGCTTTACAAACCCTGCTTAACAATCGATACAAATGGAAAATGCTTTCAGCTATCCACATACTGACACCTTCTCTGAAGGGCATCAAGGTATAAAGGAAGATGGGAGAGTATTTAGCAGTTAGAAGAAATAGAGTTCAAGCAGAGAGAGTTTATATTTTAAGACTCTCCTCTGATCTAAAGAACTAATAACTTAGCCATGTCTCACTCTTTTAATAAAAATGGAAAAACACCCATTTCTGTTCAATGTCTATATTACAGGGTTAATTATAGCATTTAAAAACAAGACAGTAAAAAGAATTCTAAAAATCCTCATGAGCCTTCAGTATGCAGTCAGGTTCAATTCTTTATGATTACTCATCAATTGTAGCGATGTTGGGGAAAGCCCTGGCTTAGACCTGGACTCTTCTCTAGTCTATAAAATGGACCATGTGCCTTGGAGAAAAACCTAACACTGAAACACACTGTTTCTCTCAGCATCTTCAGAGAATACACAGAGGCCCCGCTGGAGACAGACGTTCTCCCCAAACATCCCAACCTTGTTTATCCAAGCATTCACGCTATCACACTTGATAATGGGTGCTACACTATGGAGACATTGACCTGGTAAGAATAAAATATCACTTGGGCCAAATCCTAGGAATTCACATGTTGAGAATGGGATAGGAGAGAACTTACCTCTTATCACTTATTTGTATCCTAGTCCAGTATAAAGGTTTCATGGGACAACTGGGTTCAATGGCTGGTTTTCGAGGACATTGACTGGAAGAAGAGCCAAGTCCAAAGAAGAGTCCAGGGGGAGGTGGGGGTGCAAGTCCTGGGGGTGGTGGAGCAGGAGGAGGCCCTCCAGGGTTGGGTGGGGCAGGGGAGTTAGGAAGTGGGGGTGGGGGTGGCGGTGGGGGTGGGGGTGGTGGAGGTCCAGCACTTGAAGATAGAGGTAGAGGTGGCGGTGGAGGAGGCGGAGGAGGTGGTGGCGGTGGCCCAGCACTCACAGGTGGCACTGGAGGTGCTGGAGACAAAGAGTCAAGTCCCAGGGGGAGGGGTGGAGGGGGAGGGATGGATGCTGGCAAGGGCGGTGCGGTAGGCAGAGGCAATGCCTTCTGCTGATTTGATGCCGTGCCTTCCATTGGCTGGAGTGCTGCATGGATGTCTTTGTGGTCATTTGGCGGGGAGAGCTGGCTTAAAGAGGAGATATTCAGCTTTTTGGGTACTAATTGATTACTTCTGGTTGTCTTGCTTTCGCCTTCGCAGGGCTTGAGGAAGGTCTGTCTGTCTGTCTGGATGCACACATTTCTGAAGGTCTTTGGAGGGCAGTCATCATTGGTGGAAATGCACACATCTCTCCTCTCTTCACAACCCCCTCGCCATCTGTGTTCTAGCTCGTGTTTCAGATTTTCTATGGTTTCTTCTAGTCTCGCTGTTACCACTGCATGCTCACCCCGGATATGAAATGCCCGAAGTTCAAACTGGGCCTGTAGGAAAATTCAGTGGGAAAGAAAGTAATGAGTTTATTAAGAACAAATATAAGAATTTAGAAACTCAATAATACCATCACGGTGCCACTGTAGCATGACCCATATAAATGCAGGGAAATACAGAGACATTCTTTCAAGAATCCATAAAGGTGTACATTTCACTCTGAATTTTCCAGGGACCTACACAGGCAGGAGTCAAAGCACAATTTCATCTAGCCTGAGCTCACAGGAGATAATTTTCATGGATTAAGGTTTAAAGTACATCTGTTACTTAAGAACTCTTACCCAGTTTTCATATCAAACACATAACTTTTAATAAAGCTTTGGACATGCTTGAATCTCTGTTTTATAACTTTGGGGTTTGGTTTCATAAAAGAAAACTGTAAAGAAAAAAATAGGTTTAGAGCTCCTCTGGCTTAGAGCTGCTGTTCTCCCAGTCTCCTTAGAATGTCTCTTTCACTGAGTTTCCAAGACAATACAGCAGACACAAAAAGCAAGAGAAGAAGCCATGATAACTTACTTTTTTAAAGTTTCCCTATAAAAGCCCCAAGATTAGTATTTCTGTTTCATAATATAGCAATAAGTAAGCAATATAAAACATAATATATTACAATATATTACAGTATGCCATTTTCTTCTACTTACGCAGCACTTTAAACTATGTAAGACAGTAGCCTTTTTAATGCTTATTGCCTCACTTATTTTAATGCACTGAGTCTGTAATTGTACACTTATTAGCACAGAGCTAGAGTACTCGTAGTCATTAACTAGCCCGTTCCTGAGCATTCAAAGCTATTCATCCTATGACAGTTAACTGGAAAGCAATCAAATTTAGAATTTGATGAGAGTTTTCAAAATCCAGTTTAACAGTAATTAAATATTTTTGGTCAACTTAATTTCTGCCTCCCCCATGAGATTATAAACTCCACAAGACAAAAATGGTGACAGTATTGTCTTTATACGTGTATCCCAGCAGGTAGCACAGCGAGTACATAGCTTAGAAGAGATGGATGGATAAAAATCATGGGGATAGTTATATTCACTGTCACTGTCCCAAGAGCCTCCCTTATCAAGACTCTCTTCACTTCTCAGCACAAATATCTAGAACACCTAAGCACACACAAGTACAGCTCCTTTTTGCATTAAAAAAAGTAAAGAAATATTTTTAACAGTCTTGGAAGGAAAGGTATAAACATGGGAAGTTCGTCTACCTTCATTGAGATAACTTTTATACTATGATGTTTGCATAGTTCAGCAGATTGAATTATGAAGAGATCTACCACTTATCTGGTGTTAAAAAAAAAACTAACTTTTAACTATTTTTTACTAGGTTCAACTTTTCCTTAATATTCATTCTCAAGAAAAAAATCCTGAAGAACTATAGTCAGGAGAACTGAAAGACAAAGTTTTTTGAAGGCTAATCTTCTCATACGTGGACACGGTAGCTCTGAGCCAACTCTGAGGGAAGTGGCTAGCTCAGGACACTGTCTATTTCTTGTGCAGTGCAGAGCGTTGAGTGCCTGAATTTGGAGTCACACCACCTGGTTCACATCCTGGCTTAGGCACTTGCAAGTTCTATGACCTTAGACAGGGAACACTGTGTCCCTAAGCCTGAGTTTCTTCAAGTGTAAAGTAGGAATAATAGTGAGCCATCTCTAAGACTTTTATAAAAGTAAAATGAGATACTTCATATAAAACAGTAGGCATTATGCCTGGAACATAGAAATATTTGGATAAATCTTACTGTTAGTTTCTGTTGCTAATGCTAATAGCAAAGCAAGAGACTAACAAATTCCTAATTATTTTTTAAAATTTTCAAACAATGCTACCTTTGTAGAGGGATAGGTATAAAAGTAGGAAAAGCTCAAGCAATCAGAATAAGCAATGTACTGCAAATATGAAAGTTTACCTAGCCTTTTGTGAGTTCTACTACCAATTCCCTAAAAGTAATTTCGAGCTTCACTCAACTGTGAGATCAAGATAATCTTTGTTTCAACATTGTATCATTTCCATCTTCATTTCTCTCTTTCTTTCCTGTCCACTTCCACCCACATCTTAGCCCTGATTACCACCCTGAATTACTCACCCACATTTTAATTTCATTCTAATGACTAGTTCGGTTCTGTCACAACAAACTAACTCTCAGCAGTTACTCTCAACTAAACCTTCTTTCAAAATTAAGAATCAAATATTCAAGAAGCAATAATTTTACTCAATCCTCAACTTCTTAATGATATGAAAGAATTGCAAAGACATATTGAATGGTGAAACTTTCCCTAATAAGGGAAATTTTTTTGGTGAAATAACTGAGTTTCTGCCTCCCCTATCGGATTATAAACTCAAGATGAAATCTTGTATCTACAGCAAAAGCCCTGGCCCCCACCTCCTCCTCTTTCTACCACTAATGATCTTCTAAATCTGATGAAGCTGACATGTAAAGCTATATATCATTTTAGCAGCTTGGAGGTAATGCATTTCTTGAGTGTAGTGGGCAGAATACAAATTGGGCAGTAAAGTTCACCTCTCTGTACCTCAGTTTTTTTGTAAGCAAAATGGGGATAATAAAATGTACTTGACAGAGCAGATATGCCAGGGAGGCAAATTAATATATGTAAAACAAAATAAGAAGAATGTTTGAAGAGTGTTTACTATTTCAGTTTGCTGTCATTATTATTGTCTCTCTAACACCTGACAGATCAGAGCCCAGTGGCCCCATTAGCTTGCTCTTGGTTCTGGGTATGCTTCCCAGCCCCACGCCCTCTACTGTCTACAAGCTCTATGCTTCTAAAGCAAAAATAGACATACCAAAATCCTTCTTAAATTCCTTTAGCTATTGCACTTTCTAACCCTACCTCTTTTCCTTCACAGCAGAGCTTTTTTGGAAAAAAAACAAAACAAAAAAACAAAAAACACTCAACCCATGCTTTATTTTCCTCATTCATTCACTTTTCACCCAGTTACTGGCTTCCATCCCCCACTATCCTACTGAAACTCCACGATTTGACTGTTGCATTCAATCAGCACTTTTCAGTGATTTTTGACCTCTCTGCCACATTTGTTAGAATTGACTGTTCCAGAAGCACTGAAATTCTGCTTCCCTGAACTTGATTCCACCTCTTTCCTTTTGTTCACCTCCTACTTCTCTGCTGCCCCTAGTCAATCTGTAGACTCATTCATCCCTTAAGTGTGGTTTTCTTGGCGTATTCCTTGCATTTTTTTCCTTCTCACACTATACAATCTTTCTAGATGATCTCATATACTCATATGATTAATGACACTAGGTGAGTACCTTCTAACTTGGTACCTTGAGATCATATTTCCAACTATCCTCTGGATTAATCTACTTAAATATTTAACTAGCTGCCTCAGATCCAACAGGATGGAAAGTGAACTCATTGTTGCCGAACCCCAATGTGTTCCTCCTCTGAAATTCCTCCTCAGCATTAATGGCCTCATCACCTCCAGTCAGCACATCCAGAAACCTGATGTCATGCTGAATTTCTTGCTCTTTCTCATCCTCAACATGCTATTGATCAAGTGTTACCGATTTCTCCTGTCACCCCCACCACCTCAATCTTTCACAGGACAAAGGCAATGAGCATTTTCTTGACTCAAATTTAGCCACTTTAGTTCCAAGAAAATTTTGAAAAAAATAATAATAAATGCAGATCCCTAGTCCTTAAAATCTCTCCAATAATTAGCTGTTACTTGCAGACTACCACTAACTCTTTAGCACAGACACATCAACAGCTCTTCTGATCTGTTTTCTGACCAGCTTCTCCACTATTAGCTTTTGTCTCTTCCCCGGATATGCCCCGGATTCCAGTCTTCTAAACAGGTCCATGCTCTTTCATGCAGTCTTTGTGAATACCGTCCTCTTCCAACACCCTTCCTCTGTTGCAAACACCCAAGGTAGGGGCAGATTACCAGGCACAGACTCCACGAATGGGTTCCTCACATACTATATTCACTGATATGGAGAATGATCAAATAAGAAGGAAAACAATGAATTTCCATGTACTGCACACCAAGACGCTGAGATGATAGTATGATAGTAAGAAATCTTTCTGGATCACTAAAATTTAATTGCCTCTCTCTGCCCCTCACCCCCCAAAAAAACACTTGCCTTTGACTTTTCTTGTTTCATAATCTCTTTTGATCATTCCCATTTTGTCTCGGTTGTGTTCATGATCTCAGTGTGGCAGAGCAACTCAAAGTGATTAAAGTAATAAGCACCTCATTCATTCTCTGTCCATATCGTACCAATTATTTCAAATTGTGTCTGGATCTATTATAAACGAAACATCTCAAGCTCATGCATACCATGAACTGAAGCTTTGGGAAAGCTAATCTTTAAACACTATTTTTATTTCCTGTTAGCTACCACTTCTACTTTGTACATGGATATTATGTGCTGTTCCCCCTCCTTTATCCAGATACATAGCTAGAAAGACTGGTAATGATTTGGTGATTCTAATACAGACCAGAACTTTGTTAGATAATCATGTACTCCCAATCTTTGCCCAGGATCCTGAGAATCTTTAGGAAGTGTCAAGATCAGTCCCTTACAAAGGAAGCTACAGATAATGCTAGGTCAAGGAAACAAAATGCCTTTATATCCTGTTAACTTTACTTACACATTGAACATGTGCTTGTAAGCAGTATCCAATTATAAGCCCTCCTTTTATTTTTAGATCAATGTTCTTGAAGACATATAAAGAAAATCTCAAGATTTCTCCTTTCTCTCACTCTCCCTGCTAAAAATCTGCTGATTTGACCCCAATACATAATTTGAAAAGAGACAGGTGCTGAGGTTTGATATCTTTCCAGTTTTTAAGTTTTACCTACCTTCCTTTACTCTTAATTTGTTTGCTTCAATTGCTTTCATTTTTAATCACATCCTCTTCTCACCTGCAATAGTCTGCTATAATAATATATGTCCATCTCTTAGTAAGAAAGATTCAAACTTACTAGCTTTGAGAGGACAATGCCAATTA